ACCGATCTCCAGGGTACCAGGGTCCCTCAGCCACCCCCAAATCCAGGCCATGACATTTCCCAGTCTGTCAGGACCTTTCAGAGACCCAGGGCCAACATCTTGGTCCAGGTACACTCCCACCTCCACCTTATGACCCATGTAGATGCAGCCACCCCTCCCAGGAGAATAAGGGGTCCACAGCCTCCACTGCCCTGGAGTCAGCTGAAGCTCTGCGCTGAGGCCTAGGGAGCTAAGTCACCTGGGGATCCTGCCCACTCCAAAAACAACCTCCTTCCTCCCTCCTGCCAGTTCATATCCCACTTCTGTCTTCTCGCCTGGGAATCGTTACTGCTCCCGGTGTCCCTTCTAGGTACCCACAGCTCCTGTCCTCCCTCTGGCCAAGGTACGGTACAAACCACCCCCACCCCGACTTCAGGATGCCTGAAAGCTGAGTCCTCTTAGGGCCCCAGCCTGCACAGCAGAGTGCACAGGAGTGTCAGACTGAGGGAGAATGAGAGGGGCCTGCACATCCTGGCAGGCACCCACCTTGAGCAGCTGTCCCAACGCGGGCAGGCGGGCCAGAGACTGCAGGTTCTCATTGAAGAGACTGAGCCACTCCAGGAGGCTTCATTCCATGTGTGGCTGGCCAGGTGCCTGTCCACCGCCCGGCAGTTATCCAGCACCAGTTCTGATACTGGCATATGCCTGCTGGGTTACCCCCACCCAGAACTGGGAGACAGGAGGTGAAGGATGCCACAGCCCGAGCATGCCCATCCCGGGCTCCCAACTCTTCTGCACACTCTATGGCTCCAGGATCAGCCACCCACATGCTCAGTCCTCCTGGTGCTTCATGTGGCTGCCTGGGCCACCGTCCCCCCTACCCCATCCCCCTGGATTAGGGCAGTCGGGTGCACTGCCTCTGGCTACTGCGCACAGGGACCAGGTGTGCGCCAGCTGCAGCTCTCAGCTTTGGACCCCTCCCTAGCCCACACATTTCCAGACACTTGCCCCAACAAACCCCCACACACACCCTCAAGGCACCAAGTCAGACTCTGGCCAGCGCTCAGTTCTCCCCGCTTCTGGTTCACAGCTCCAAGTGCAGCCCTCTGTCCATGTTCAAGGCCACTCAGCGAGGCCCCAGCGGGGAGCCTCCAGGATGGTGCCAACACACAAAGGGGAACAGGGAGCACACGACCCTCCATGCTGGCAGGGGTTCCACCAGGGAGGAACCCTTTAAACTCCAAGTTCCAGGCTAGGGGTGTCCACACCAAGTGGCCTGCCCAGAGCCTGGGGAGTCACTAGTTGTCATTCAGTCCTTTAGCTTACCTTGATTGAGCGCCGACAGTATGCTCTCAGCCAATCAGCCCTTGTTCTTTTATTCCCTCACCAAATACTGAGTCAGCCAGCCTATGACCAGCCTGTGCTGTCTAGTGCCAGAGACCCAGAGAGGACCCAGACCTCATCATCCCTGGCCTTCCGAGACCCTGTCTGGAAATGTGACTCAGGATCCATGTTTGTCTGTGCAGGGACAGGATGCACAAGCACAGAGGCTCCAGAATCCTCAGGCTGTACTCTTAAAGCAGACACATCAATAGGCAGTCACTTCCAACTGTGCTGCCTGTGGACTTCGTGGCAGGGCAGGCAAAAAGAGCTCAAGACAAGAGCCTCCTTCCCTGTCTCACCTGGATCTTTCTGGAACTTCTATGTCCTTACTACTTCAGGTGTGACCCTCGGACCAGCAGTATGAGCATCACCTGGGATGTTGCAGCACCTGAATCCTACCACGGACCGGAGGCAGACCCTGCACCTTAAAACACGGACTGAGGGGGACTGATGGGCACCAGTACTTCTCAGCTTAGCTGTACCTTAAAATTGCCCCACAAGTGTCTAAGACACCCCCAGGTTCAGGCCACACCCCATAGCAACTAAGTCAGAATTTCTGGGACCGCCTCCTCGTAAACGCCTCAGGCAACCCCAGGGCATGGCTAAACTGAGAATCAGGGCTCTGCACTCTCCTACTGGGTTCCCCTCCCTCTGTGCACTGAGGTCACTGACCTCCCAGGGACCTTATCTGGCTGAGCCTCACGTCCTAACGGCGCTGGTCTTGCCCACCACCTTTACACCCTCTTCTCTGACCTCCCAGCTGTCTCGATTTTCCTCCCACCCTCTGTCCAATGGGAACCTGGGGTGTCCTTAGGGGCCAAAGCCTTGGATACTGCCTACCTGCCCACCCTCAAATCTGCCATCCCAGTGGGCCATCTGCTCAGCTACAGCCATCCACGGCCCCACATGACATCTGCCCCTGCAAAAGGGAAGTACTGCCCGGAGTCGGACCACAGTGAAATGTTGAAATGAGGAAGGCAAGTGAGGTAAGGAGCAGCAGAAAGGCCTCACCCATCACACTCAGCAGAGTCCTGGGTCTCCTGCCAAGAGCAGACTGTTCCCCTTCCCCACTGAGAACGCCCCTCTCAAGGAGGCCCCGGCTGCAGTTGGCCTTGGCCTGCCTCTGTTGGTAGGAGGTCGTCAGGGTTTGGCACCATGTGCTCCTTGGAGCCCAGAGGTTAGCAGATCATGTGGTAGGAATGAAGGGGGACAGCAGAGAGCCCAGAAACTAGTGACTACATTGTGAATGCACTGACCTGCAATGCACAAAGCAGGGAGACTAGCTGGCAGGTCAGGAACTCAAAGAAGTGGACGGCTAGATCTGGAGACAAACCTGGGGCCAGGCCGTTCCCCCCTCTTCCTTCCTCCTCTCCCCTCCCCAACCAGTGGGGCCTGTGGAGCAGAAGCCACAGTCACTTCCTGAAGGCAGCAGCCCCAGCTCAGGTCCCACTCACCCTGTGGCCCATCATCCGCCTGCAGCCATGGTGAGTGAATCCCCAAGCCCTGGGAGAGTCCCCACTGGCTGGAGGCAAGGGGTGCCACAGGTGGAAATTGGGGGGCATATTCCAAGAGTGGAGCGGCAGAAGGGGCCAGGAAAGCCATCTGGGAAATGGGAATGACCAACACAAAAGCCCAGAGGTGAGAAGCAGCCAGGACACAGCTCTGGGACAGTCGAGCTCCAAGGGGCCTGCCTAGGTCCCTGGCTTAGGCTGCGACTATTAGGGGGAAAGATAAGAGGCCTCAGACAACTCCCTTCGCCCCAGGTCAGCATGAACAGCAACTGGTAACAGACGGCCAGGGTGAGCACAGGGGCTTCCTATGGATGACAAAGTAGGTCATTCACCTGCTGCCTGCTCCCACCTCTGCCAGTCCCCCCCAGGCATGACCTTTTAACCCCACGGGTCACCCACTGGGTAGGGGGTGGCTTTCAGAGGCATATTCAGACCCCAGGCAGGAATCGCAGCCTTTTCTCACATTCTCTAGATAGGAAAGTGAGCTACGGGCAGGAGAGGCCATGTAGTTCTGCCCTTCCCCTCCCTCCCCCATCTCCCCCAGGTGAAGCCAGGCTTGGGGGCTTCTGGAGAATTTGTCATCAGAGCAGGTCCAGCCTACTTTGTGCATCTGCCTGTGTCTGAATGTTGGTACAGGGTGGTCCCCACAGCACCTGGGACAAACTTCATGTACTATACATGGCATATGCATCTGACCGTGCCCGTTTCACGAGGCATGCCTGCCAGTCCTCATGGCCATTGTGGACTGTGTCCCTGACCATCACCTGGGGCATCTGAGACTGTGAGAGACCCTGTGCCACATTTGCCACCAGGTCAGGTGTCTCTGCATCCATCTATGTGAATCAGACTGGATGCAGCTGAGTATACACCTGACTTTGTGCCCTCTATGTTGTTTATTTCAACAAATATTTACTGAGTACCTACTGTGTGCTGGGCATTGGGAGGATAGCAACAAATGAGCAAAGTCACTGCTCACACATTTAAAAATATACATGAAATAAATATAATACATGGTGGTGGGTACTAAGAGAAAAATAGTGCCGGTTGGGGATTCAGGGTTAACAGGTTTCCTCCAGCTGCTCTGAGGACACTAACCAGAGATGGAGGGTGGGCAGGAGTCAGGGAGGAGGCAACTGGACAGTGCCTCTGGCGGATGACAGCACTGTAGTCTGTGAGAAGTGGTTAAATGCCGGATGTATTTTGCAATTAGAACAGAAGGGACTGGGGGCATGGGGGAAGAGGTGGTTAAAGAACAAGAGGAAAGTGGCAATGTGTCTGTGACAATGTCCTTGTGTCCCAACGTCCATCTCTCCACCACCCCTGTGTGTACCAGTCCCTGCCTGACTGGCTCTGTGTCCCCTAGGGGAGCCATCAGGACTTCCGGAGCCTTCAAGCAAAGTTCCAGGCCTCTCAGCCGGAGACCAGCGAGCTCCCCTTAAAATCCCCAAAGCCTGAGTTCAAGAAACTCAAGAAGTTTCCGCAGCCTGAGCTAAGTGAACACTCCAAGAAACCCCCGCAGCCCGAGTTCGGTGCAGTGCCCAAGAAGCCCTCACAGCCCGAGTTCGCTGACCTCCCCAAGAAGCCCCTGCAGCTTGAGTTCAGTGCAGTGCCCAGGAAGCCCCCACAGCCCGAGTTCACTGACCTCCCCAAGAAGCCGCCGCAGCCCGAGTTCGGTGCAGTGCCCAAGAAGCCCTCACAGCCCGAGTTCGCTGACCTCCCCAAGAAGCCCCCGCAGCTTGAGTTCGGTGCAGTGCCCAGGAAGCCCCCGCAGCCCGAGTTCACTGACCTCCCCAAGAAACCCCCGCAGCCCGAGTTCGGTGCAGTGCCCAAGAAGCCCTCACAGCCCGAGTTCGCTGACCTCCCCAAGAAACCCCCACAGCCCGAGTTCACCGATCTGCCCAAGAAACCCTCCAAACCTGAATTCAGTGAACTCTCCAAGAAGTTCCCACAGCTCGAAGCCACTTCATTCCCCAGGAAGCCCCTGCAGCCTGAGGTCAATGAGGCCCCTCAGAAGGCCTTACAGCCGGAGCCCAGTGCACTTGCCCGGAAGCCCCTGCAGCCTGAGCTCAGCAACCCCACCAGGCCCCCAGCAGAACCCAAACTCAGTGCATTCCCTAGGAAGTTCTGGCAGCCTGAGACCAATGAAGCCACCCCGAAGCCCTTGCAGCCTGAGTTCAATACCTTTCCAAAGAAGCCCCCACAGCCTGAGTTCAGTGAGTTCCCCAAAAAGCCTCAGCAGCCCCAGGTCACTGGCCTCCCTAAGAAGTCCCTGCTACAGCCCGAGTTCAGCGAAGTCCCTCAGATGCCGCCCTGGAAGCCTGAGCCCAGTGAGCCCCACCCCGACGCCTCACAGCCCAACTTCAGTGCCTTTCCAAAAAGGCTCCCACTGCCTCAGCCAAATGACCTCCCCAAGAAGCCCTTGCAGCCTCAGTTTGGTGACCTCACTAGGACGTCTTCAGAGCCTGAAGTCTGCGTGTTTCCCAAGAGGCCAAGGCAGTCCGAATTCAAAGCACTCTCTAAGAAACTCCCCCAGCCTGAGCTGGGCAGCATCCCCAGGACATCCTCAGAGCCCGAGGTCAGCCTGATCCCCAGGAGGTTTACAAGGCCCGAGGGCCAGGGGCACCCCCGCAAGTTCTCACAGCCAGAGTCCAGTGCTCTGCCCAAAAAGCCCGGGCAGACGGAGTTTTTTGGGAATCTCTCTAGAAAGCCTCCGCTACCTGGCTCTCTTTCAGAGAGCTCACTGCCCACGGCCATTGCGAGCTCCGGCCCCAGGTTCCTGCTTAGCCCAGGGTTTGGAGTCAGGCAACAGAGGTCAGGAGCGCTCACCCACAGTGGAGGGTCAAGGCTGGGCCTCAAACCTGGTCGCCCACCCCGGCGGAGGCCTCTGCCTTCTGTCAGCAGCCTGGGACCCCCTCCAGCCAAACCCCCGCTGCCCCCGGGCCTCAGGGACGTCCAGAGCTTTCAGAGACCCTCAGCAGCAGCCACAGGTGGGTCAGGGCAGCCCAGGCTGAAAGGACGGGCCAGGGGCTCACTGGCCATGCCTGCCTCCCTCCCGCTCCTATCTCTCCACAGCTCTGCGGAGGACCCACTCTTCTGCTGGAATCCACTTCCAGGCCCAACAGCCTAAGGCCATCCCACAGTGAGTGTGGGGAGTAGTGGATGTAGGCGCAGGTTATGAAGCAGGTCATGAGGCTGAAAGAGGCCCTCATCTCAAGTATCCCTGCAGGGACCCGGATGAGATCTACGAGCTGTATGATGAAGTGGAGCCCACAGACGATTCCAGATCCAGCCCCAGGGGCAGAGGTTTGTTGGTGGTGGGTCCAGGCACCTGGGACACATCTGTTGCTAGGGCATTTTTTGCCATGCTGCTGGTGTGAGGCCAAGCACCAATCCAATTCCCTGACAGCATGGAGCAAGCAGAGGGTAGGAGGGGCTTTTCAGAAATATCATAGCAGCTCCTGGTGGGCGGAACAATGTGAGGAAGGGCAGCATAGATGCCAATAGCCAGTGAGCGTGGGTAGCCAGGTCAGGGCTGCAGCTCAGGGTGGTGACAGTGGAAGGATCAGGTAAAAAGTGGCAAGACAACTTGGCGGTATATTAAGCAGGGGTGAGAGGGAGTAAGTGAGCTTGACTTGGATGAGGCCCAAGTATGGAGCCTTGACTTGAGCCTGGATATAGTAGTGGAGCCATCTCTGAGTCAGAGACAAAAGTGTCAGGTTCCCTCATAGACCTGTTTGTTGTGTTGGAGGTACCTGAGGACTTGGACCTAGAACTCAAAGAGAGGCTGGACACAGGGTGTGGCTCTGGCATCTCTCTCTCTCCACTCTGGAGTTCCAAAGGACCCTTCTCTTTCTTTTCCAAGTCTCTGCTCTGGGAGGGCATGATGCTGGCCTAGCAGGCCCACACCTCCAACCCAGCTCCACGGTTAATGCCTTCACCAACCTCACAAACTTCCATGGAAGCACTTTAAATGTGTGTCACTGAGTCTACACTGCCCTATACCTCCCAAGGCAATGTCATGACCACTGTATAGATGTGCAAAATTGAAGACCCAAGAAGTGACTTGCCCCAGCTCACACAGCCAGTACAGAGGAGCCCGGGGCCTCTGCTCCCAGGCTGTGTCCCTGCCCTGGTTTGAAAGGGCCTCCTGCAGGGGAACCTTCCATCAGGGTTATGTATCTTCAGGATGCTACCTCATCCTCCCCATCAGCAGCCCCCACCTGGCCTGCTGCCTCTGTGGCTGCTTCTGAGCTTTCCCCAGGGGCTGTTTGCAACAGCCCTCCAAGTTAGCACAGAGCTTCCTGGCAGGGGCCTTCCTGCTTCCGCTCCAGTGAGGCTCTGTGGCTCTGCTCTGGGAGGGGCACTGTTTGGGACCTGGATGTAGTAGAATGCCTCTGGCCATTCCACTACTTCCCAGCAGCCTTGCAGGCACAGTCCAACCCCTCTTCCTCTCCCCTAACCCCGTACAGACCAGGAACATCTCCACTTCTGCTCACTGCCCCTGCACCGAATCCTTCAAGATTCCCATCGAATACGATCATCCCTGGATCTCCCCCTTCTTGAGACAGTGTGGGGCTATTAGTACAGATTGTCCCAAAGGCGGCTTTGTCCTTTTCAAGTCTATCCTCCCACTCTCCACTTCACTTGGAGCAGTAGCAGCTGGGGGCTGGGGCCAGCTCTTTCCCAGCATCTGAGCAGGCCACCCACAGGAGCCTGCCTTCCCCTGTGGAGCTAGCTCAAGGTCACACTGCCAGGAATCTTGGGCCATAGGTGCACCAGGTCCGCCCCGTAACACAGTGCCCACGAAGTGTGTGCTCTGTGCTGTGGTGGGTTTATAGGGGCTCTGGGGTGCCGACGTCAAAACTGCTCCCAGCTGAGTGACCATCTCCACACTGGGCAGCCTCTGGGAGAGGCAGAAGCTGCTGAAGGAATATTCTGGGTGGGACCATGGATGGCACCATCATCTGAGCACCAGGCTGAGGCTAGAGGCACATTCAGTGTCTGAAGGGTGAGAGTATACTACCACACAAATACCCCTCAGTGGGCTGCCTGATGGGAGGGACTGCTGGCCCAAAATGTCAAGACACTTGGAGTTATTCAGAGAGGACAACGAAAAGCTGGGGGCTTCAGGTTCTGGAGGCTTCACTCACCTGTTCATGAGGCTCTAGCGATAAGCCAACCCTTCGGCAAGCAGGCGCCTACCTGGAAGGCTGGCCACTTGCCAGTAAAGTCAGCCTCACCCTGGGAGACATCCCTTACAGTCCAGCCTCACCATGAGCCAGGCCAGTCCAAGAACCCCACCCAATGAGCCCCTTCTCAGAGGGCGACTTAGTTTGCCTCCGGGATATGCTTTTGCCTCATTTTTGACCCAAATCTCTTTAATTCCCAGAACTCAACCTGCTCTAGTGCCAGATATAAAGTAGCCTCAAAAGTGTGCAAATAAATCCTGCCTCTCTACCCCCTTACCAGCTGGGTGACCTTGAGCAGATCACTTTATCCCTCAGGGCCTTTATCTCATCAGCAAGTTGAGAATGACAGTACTGCCTGCCTGTCATGAGTAAGGTTGTTGTGAAGGTTGAATTAACGTGAATATTTCTGCCATGCCTCGCGTGTGTCACAAGTTAAGAAAATGAGAGGCAATCCAGTACAACTCACAACCAAGGACAAAGGCCTGGGGAGAGGATGGGCAGGTGGGCACAGCAGGGGTTGGGAAGGGGCCTGGCCAGAATGAGAGGATGTCTTAAGAACTGCCACAAGGAAAGCTCACTCAAGATCAAGCCACCAGGGCCAAGAGAGGCTGAGCCAACAATCTCCGCCCTAAGTTGTGTTTTGACTGCCCCTAGATGAAGTGCCACCCACCCAGCAATCACCTAGAAAATCACAAGACTCTGAGCTCAGGTAACACAGGGCAAGTGGGGTGGGACAAGGAGGGGCTGAGCTCTGGAAGGGAAGTAGAAGGGGACCGCTGAGGAATACATCTTGCTCACGAGTATCCAATTCACTGGGGGGCTCAGGAAGGAGAAGGTCCTCCAGCCACAGCCGTTGCTGCCCACGGACCCGAAGGTGCTGAAGCAGATCCGGAAGGCAGAGAAAGCTGAGAGGGAGTTCCGGAAGAAGTTCAAGGTGTGGACACCAGGCTAAGCCAGAGCCCTAGGAGGGCTGGGCTCAGCCTAATTGACCAAGGCCCCATGAATTCCATCCTCAGGAAGAAGCTGGGGCTCCTGGGCAAGGGCGGGGGGAGGGTGTCAGCACAAGCCAAAGCTCTAACATGTACCTCCCTAGTTTGAGGGGGAGATTGTGATTCAGACGAGGATGATGATTGACCCCAATGCCAAGACGCGTCGTGGGGGTGGCAAGTACCTGGGGATCCGGCGTGGGGAGATCCTGGAGGTGATCGAGTTCACCAACAAGGAAGAGATGCTGTGCAGGGACACCAAGGGCAAGTGTGAGTGAGCCGGACCAGGTAACCCTGGGGAGACAGGGCTCACACCACCGAGCCAAGACTCACCCATTCCCACTCTCTTCGTAGATGGCTACGTGCCTAGAACAGCGTTGTTGCCCCTGTGAGTAATGCCCTGATGCAGGGGGTTAGGGAAGGGGGGCAGTCGATAGGCCAGGATGACCCTTGCTGATCCATCTGTGCTCTCCATCAGGGAAACAGAAGTGTATGACGATGTTGGCTTCTGGGGTACGTAGAAATTCTGGATGGGTTGGAAGGCATCACAGTGCCTCGGGAGGGGATAAGCCCCCACCCCACTTCCCTGGGGGCTGCTCAGTATCTGCTTATGGGGAGAGGGATCCACTGGAAGTCACTATTCCTCTGCAGATCCTCTGGAGAACCAAGCATTCCCCCGGGGACAGTAAGGCACAAAGGTGTGGGGACCTTGGACAACATGCCGGCCCAGCCACCCACTAGCCCTGGATCCCAGCTTGGAGGTTGCAGAACTGCCAAGGGTCAGGTCTGACTACGTACGTGGACTACATAAAGCCCCCTTTCAAAGCCATCCCTGCTTCCTGTCTTTCC